ACGACCACGACCACGACCACTACGACTATATGGCTACGACTATACAAGTATGACTATAAGACTATGACTATACGACCACGATGACCATTACTACGACCGTTACTACGACTCCTCATACTTAGACTCAGACTCATCCTCACACTCATCCTCAGAATACTTATATACGCATGTATACTCATTCTCAGCCCGGGGCTAAAGCAGTATCAGAACAATCCACGTGAGGTTTTGCTGCTGGCTAGTGCCCAAAAGCTGCAAGCCTTAGGGAACAAGCCATGCCAACTGCGGGTCACCAGTTTTATGGAAAGCCTCAGGCTACACAGATCCTCCACCAGCGCATACAAGTTGGAGCTGGAATACTGCATCTGCAGGCTGCCTCAGTATCTTTTTGCAGAGGTAGTGCATGCGCAAAGTTTGCTCTGCACTGCAAGCAAAACAGAGGTTATTAATATAGAGCAAAGAGGTTCCCAACAGTCAGAAAGATACGAACACTCAAGCACGGAAACAGAATAGGCACCTGAACTTTTGGCCCTGTGGGCATCGAGTCATGTCGTTTCATGGCTGCGCTCGTGGCAGGCAGCCAAAACACCGAGGGAAATGGAAAGGGCATCCAAGAAAGAACAAGATCAATTATCTTCACCGTTCTCTCAATCGCATTGTCGCCTCGAAGAGGGTGCAAGATAATCGAACCCATTATTTTTTTGGACATGGTCACAGCAGTGGACTGTCGCCAGAGTGGAGAGAGAGAGAGAGAGAGAGTGGAGAAAAAAGGGACACAGAGAGGGAGAGAGACAGCGTTGTGGATGTGCTATTTGCAAAGAGCCTTTGAAGCCAAAGGACAAACAAACGGATTGAACAGACCAAACCAAGCCAAGCCAAATAAGAAATGGATGGGATGTGCGAAATGGCATCAAGATGCCGAGCGTTGGCGTGGAGAGATCAAGTTCGAAGATTATGCATGGTGCTGCTGTCCACTGTTTGTCCAAATTTGTGCTGCTTTGCCAGTCACTGACTGTTATGTGATTGGCCGAAAATTCGACAATATATGGCAACATGCAGAGGAATCGATCCCCGCCAGCAACACAACCAAACAATGTTTGGACAAGCTTCTGGATTGAAATCGGGAAGTACACAGTCTTGTAGTCGAACGGGTAGCACGACATGTCGAACTCTGAGAGGGATTGTGAAAAGTCACCAACGTACACTTTGCTAGCACTGATTTTTTCTTTGCGACTATTTTTGTCCCAAAGATTTACTGTTCCCATCATGTGCTTCTCACCGGTGGCAAAGTTCTCGACATCCACCACCAACTCCGGATTGGAAACGAAGTTCAGCGCTTCTGGAGGATAAACCTTCAAGACAGAAAGCAAATCGGCATTGAAATGTTTTAGGACTGAGAATGACAAAGGATGGTTAAGATGATGAGGGATGATGGAGGATGACAAAGCTGTATGCAGGCTAGAAACTGTATTGAGTGTCATCCTCCCCTTTATCAACTTCTGGGCATCGCTGAAGCCCAGGAAGATCTCCCACCCAGGTATGACTTCCAATGTGATGGGAAGACCTCAAAGTTTGGCCAACGTGGGCAACTTGGGCAACTGACAATCAATCTTGCCACACAAGCAAGAAATAGCCTCCTGTATTCCTCCCTGAAACTTATAGCCTACACTACACTTCCAGAGGGCAAAGTGTTTTCTCCAGTCTAGAACTAAAGCTTCGAGAAATGCCATTAAGCAATGTAGTCAGTGATGTTCTGTTGGTTACTTGGCTTTCCGTCCCAGTTCTGCTCAAGTTTGGCGCTACTGCAAATGAATGGCTGACGCCAACAGCATCCCTGATCTGAATGTCGCTTGGAAGGCTATCCGTCTCTTCCTGACAAGTGGAAACAGCACAACTCTGACAGATGAAAGTCATGAAGCACAGCTTTTGAAGGAGTGCCACAAAGTCCATTCTGCAACAATGCTGAACAATGCTCCAAAATAAGCTGAGAAAAGGAGATGACCCCAGGACCCCACTCTTTGACCTCATTGGATGACGGGATGAAGCAGTCGACAAAAGTGCCAAGCAACTTCCTCCGTCTGCACACGGCGAGGACTGATTGCTTTTTTCACCTTTGGACTTGTGATTGAAAGTTTGAATGGACTCTCGGGAGCTGCTAAACATCATGATGAGTCATAATCATGTGTAGTGCCTTGCATTCAGCCTTCTTGCTCCAAAAAATGCTGTTTCCGTTCGACCATAGCTTGCCATCCTCCAATTGGCTTTCTTGCTGAGTGGGACCGGGATTCCAGAGCAATCAATGCATCAAGGAGACTGTGGTCGCACTCTCGGCACTGGCCACCCTATCTTTGGCTTCAAAAAGCTCAAGCCTGGCTTTATTGTACTTCACTTTCAGGAGAAGAAGATGTCCAACAGTTGAAGCAGGCTTCTAGGCTTCAATTACAACCATGTAAATCCCCTAACAGCACAACTTTGCTATGGGGTCTTGAACCCAGATTAGCTCCGGTGCGATCCGGTGCAGCTTCAACACCAGGTTCCAGACAAGGTTCCGGAGGGTTCTGGTGCAGATACCTCGTGAGGTTCCGGAAGGTTCCGGCGCAGATACCTGGTGAGGTTCCAGAAGGTTCCGGTGAAGATACCTGCTGAGGTTCCGGAAGTTTCTGTGCGGTTCCGGAGGGTTCCGGTGCAGATACCCTGTGAGGTTCCGGAAGTTTCCAGTGCTGGTACTCGGTGAAGTTCCGGAAGCTACGGTGCAGATACTTGGCTAGGTTCTACGGGGCTTGGGTGCAGGTACCTGGTGAAGTTCCGGAAGTTGAGGTTCCGGAGGGTCTAGGTGAAGATGCGTGGTGAGGTTCCGGCGGGTTCCGAGGCAGATACCTTGTGAGGTTCCGGAAGGTTCCGATGCAGAGACCTTCTGATGTTCCGGAGGGCTTGGGCGGAGAAGATGCTTGGTGAGGTTCCGGAGGGTTCCGGTGCAGATACCTTGTGAGGCTCTGGAGGGTTCTGGCGCAGATGCTTTGCGAAATTCTAAAAGGTTCCGATGTTTTTATGGTATAAGTATAGCATAAGCGCTTAATGTTTATGGCATAAGCACTCTTTATGGCAAAAACGCAGAAGTTTTCAAGCTGTTGGGGATAGCACCTGAATTTATTTGTACTAAAGACAACAATAGACACACACACACACCGCGCCATGATGACAAATGACAAAGAATATGTGAGAGGCTGGAGGCTACTTGATGGCCCAAAGCGGCCTGAAGAAAAACAGAAGGGCAAACAGCCACAATCTGCTCGGCTCGACATGAAGGAAAACCATTCCGTCTTTGAGAATGGCGCTTCCGTTTTGAGGTCCAGCACTCTGATTCAAGAGCCTGCATATATGGAACGAAAGCAATATCTTGAGCCCGGAGATGGCGGTCGCGAGGGTTCAGATTTGAATCATGGAATTGCGCTTCCAGGCCCTGGAAACAGTCTGCCCATGGTCTGTTTACAAGGCAGATTGACAATGATTGAAGTATTTGAGCCCCCCGCTTGAACTTGCAACCTGTCACAAGAGCTGCGCGTCTAGACAAAGTGAATAGAGCCACGCAGCATCTTTAACCCACAGGACTTTCATAAGACTTAAGAGCAATCTTTTTTAAATTCACACTTCTCATCTGCCGGACTAATGCAGAATCCCACAAAACATGAAGATTCCGGAAGATGCTTGAATGACGTTGGAATACTTTAGAGGATCCAAAATACTGCGGTCGCAAGCCCGAAAGTCTAGGTTGCAGAGGGCAATCCCTCTAGACAAACTGTCAAGAGTAGGCTCAAATCGACTTTTTGAACTCATAGCACCTCCGAAGATTGCCATTGACCTGGCAGGAATGTTGGTAGGCACCAGCTCAAGGCAGCATATTCAGCAATTGCGGGTCCAAGATTTTAAAGAGTCTGCGGGAAACAGGTGACGGCTTCAAAGAAGCTATATATATTATAATATATATATATATTATAATATATATATATATATTATATATATATATAATATATATATATATATAATATATATAATATATATAATATATATAATATATATAATATATATAATATATAATGTATATCTATATAATATATAATATATATATATAATATAATATATATATATATATATGCGGCCCGGTACCCCCCTCAACCCCCCCCATGGTATGGTCCCCCCCCGGTAGCCCAGCACCCTGTAACGTAGCATCAGTGTCTGTGCAAGTACGAGGGAAGATCTTTTAACGTAGCACCAAGCGTCCGTGCAAGTGTGCAAGTACACGAGAAGATCTTATAACCTCAAGTGTCTGTGCAAGAAACCAGAAAAGGTCTATTAATGTAGCACCAAGTGTCTGTGCAAGTGCAAGAGAAGATCCTTTCAGAGACCATCAGGTGTTTGCGCATGTAAAATAGGATGCCTTGGAGCGCAACATGAAATGTCTGTGCACCTATTACAAGACAAGATCTTGTAACATAGCATCAAGCGTCTGAAGTAGGAGATCTTTTAACTTCTTTTGAAGTTGCATCAACTGTCTGCGCGTGTAGACTAGAAGGTCTTGTAACGTAACATCAACTGTCTGTGCAAGTACAAGAGAAGATCCAAGTGTCTGTGCAAGTACAAGAGAATATCCTTGCAGAGACCATCATACTCAGGCAAGGACATACTTACATACCGACATACTGACATACTTACATACAATCATACTCAAACACCTACATACTGAAATACTTACATACCTACATACTGACATAGTTAGGGACTTACATACCTAGATACCTGCGTGGCTACATACCTACATACCTACATACCTACTTACCTACATACCAACATACCAACATACTAACATACCCACATACCTACATACCTACATACCTACCTAACTACCTACATTGCATTACATTACATTACAGTACATTACAATGCATTACATTACATTACATACGTTACATACCTTCGTTACATACATACATTACATACATTACATACATTGACACATTACATGCATTACATTACATCACAAAACAAAACATAACATTACATTACATTACATACATTACATACATTGCATACATTACATACATTACATTACATGCATTACATTCATTACATACATTACATCACAAAACAACGCATAACAAAACACAACATAACATTACATACATTACATGCATTACATACATTACATATATTACACACATTACCTACATACCTGCATACCTACATACCTACATACCTACATACCCACATACCCACATACCTACGTACCTACATACCTTCACACTTACTTACCTACATTCCTACATTACCTACATTACCTACATTACCTACATTACCTATTACTTTCAGTACCTCCATTAGCTACATTACCTACAATACCTACATAGCTACATACCAACATACCACATACTGACATACTTACATACAATCATGCTTAAATACCTACATACTGACATACTTACATACCTACATACTGACATAGTTACAGACTTACATACTGACATAGGTACAGACTTACATAACTACAAACCCGCGTGGCCACATAGCTACAAACCTACAGACCTACATGCCTACATACCTACATATCTACCTACCTACCTACTTACCTACTTAAACACATACATACATACATACATACATACATACATACATCCATCCATCCATGCATGCATGCATGCATGCATACATACATACATACATACACACATACACACATACACACATACACACATACACACATACACACATACATACATACATACATACATACATACATACATACATACATACATACAGACATACAGACATACAGACATACAGACATACAGACATACAGACATACAGACATACAGACATACAGACATACAGACATACAGACATACAGACATACATACATACAGACTGACATACATACATACATACATACGTACGTACGTACGTACATACATACATTCATACATACATACAAGAGACCCCCCCCATTGCCACAGGGGGGGCGGGGACCACGACCAGGAATGGGACCATGACCATGACGGGGGGGTGGGGCTGCAGGCCTGTAACATATACATTGGCTTGATTCAAAACATATGAGTTCATATATTATATGGTGCCTCACCAGCCGCGGGGTGCGCAGCGCGAGAGCGCGAGCATTTAACACGTGCGCGCGCGAACACGCGAGCAAAGACAGGCGCGCACGCGAGGTGCGCGAGCAAGGCGCGCGAGCAATGCACGTGCGCGCGCGGGACAACACACGCGCCCATGCGTGGAGACTTCGGACACGCACGCGCGCACAAATAAGCTCACATAAGCTCTCCGCGCGCCCAAATAAGCTCACCAAATCCACTTTTGGAGCCCGCCTTGCTCGCGCGCCTTGCTCGCGCGCCTGTCTTTTTTGGCCCGTCTCGCGCGCGCATGTGTCAAATGCTCGCGCGCATGCTGGCGCGTGATTTCAGATGGAAATGTTTCATATGTTTTCAATAATGACAACATATACTTTTTTTAGAATTTATACAACTTATACAACTTATACAACTATCGAGAACTTGTCACGGTCAGTCGGTTAGTCCTGCCGGCGAATTTTCTTTCCACTACATATTAAATCTCCTGGCACTCGACCGCCCAACGCACCTGTGCTGAAGTGGCTTTGCCTTCTGGTTGAATGAGAAAATTCAGCGAAACAGTCAACAAGTCAAAAAAGTCCGAAAGTCAAAGCATGTCAAAGCTATTCGCTGAAGGCGCTAAATCCATTCGCCTTGAGCAAAGTCGATCCTAGTTGGCCCCAAATCAATGTAGTTCTGCAGGACATTCTGGCCTTCTGCACTTGGGACCTCCACGTCTAGAATGACGACCTGGCACCGTAAAATTGCATAAATAAAATATATTAAAATATAATAAAGCTACAGGTTGTTGGCATTGGGAATTGTTGCGAGGTCACAGTGCAGGGCCAAAAATTAAAGTACCGGATAACCCAACAAGTCAAATAAGTAGAAACGAAAGTTGAAGCGGGACGGGGAAGGAAGGAAAGACAAAGGAGGTGTTGGAGGATCGAGAAGTTAAAAAGTTGTATGTGAAGAGTTGTGTGTGGTGAAGTTGTGTGTGAAAGATGTGTGTGACAAAATTATGTGTGTGTGTGTGAAAGATTGTGTGTGACCAAGTTGTGTGTGTGTGTGAAACTTGTGTGTGACCAAGTTTCAAAGCCGTCGCACCCAAAGTGAAAGCGAGCATGCAGTTTGGTGACAACTAGCATCCCACTTGACGCAGCCTGAGCACATTGCACATTGCTTAGTACTCGCGTCTTCCCGCACCCCCGGCCAACGAGGTGACAGACGACATCACGTCGGTCTGCTTGGTGCAGGAGCACACAGCAACCACATGAGACGAACCAGAATTGACACACGAGGCACATGCGATTGCAGCAGGTCCTGTGATTTGAGAGCCTGCCGCTGGACGTTGCCTTGGCATGTTGCAGATTGCTTCATGCGTGCCGACCATCGGCATGTGCCAAGCAAGGCGCGCTGGCCCATTGCCTTTGCCGTCATACTCGGTCGGAAACAGAGCGTTGGCCCCAAGCACACAAGACCGCGTCATCCCGCACCCCCGGCGAACGAGGTGACAGCCGACAATACCTCGGTCTGCACGGTACAGGAACATGTACAGTGACGTACAACTAAACGATGCAAGCGCTTCCACCGGCCAACGGGGTGACACACGACCATAGGTCGCTCTGCCTGGCCCAGGAGCACACACACACTATGCGGCTACTGCAGCAAGATCGGAGAGCATCATATTGCACATCAAGCTAACAACCAGCTGCACACAGTGGAGGAATAGATGCACTGCCCATCAGTGAAAACCCAGCTTGTCTTCCGCCCATGGAAAAAAGATGGAAGGGGAATCTGGCCCCATGCAAAGGCAGATCAAGTTCAGAAAACACAATGCAAAGACACCACGTCACACTGTTCCATGCGTATTCTAATCGAAAACAATACAAATGGTTCAGTCTTCCGACCGTTGTATACCAGATGCAATGGATGCACATTAACCCATGTGTTCGGAATGCTTTTGAAGTATCAAAGCCACGTTTTTTGGGACACCGGACGACTCATGGGCCCCGGGCAATCACACACGGGAAGAATGGGACTCCAAGACAGGTGTGAAGGAAAACTATTAGGACAGTCTGAAACGACGAGTTCATTGGCGCTCACATACACAATATGCACCGGTCTTTTTTGGCAGTGCCAACGTCACCTGCGGCACGCGCGATTTCTTCCCACGGGTCAAAATCGAGACTTGCCGATTCAATTGGTGGGATGAAGTGTGCCAGCATCTCTGCCACGCAAAGTGCCGCGGCGTCATGGGCGACTAACGGTGACCACACGCGCCACCAGACCCAACCCAGTGCCACAAGTGCCACGCCTGCCAGGTGAAAAACGAAGGTGGATGTCGCCAAGTGCCACGCCTGCCACGTGAAACGAAGGTGGATGTCGCCAAGTGCCACGCCTGCCACGCAAAGTGCTGCGGCGTGACGGGCGACTAACGGCGACCAAGTGCGCCACCAGACCCAGCCCAGTGTCACAAGTGCCACGCCTGCCACGCAAATGCTACGTCCATGTCGCCAAGTGCCGCGCCTGCCACGCAAATGCTACGTCCATGTCGCCAAGTGCCACGCCTGCCACGCAAAGTGTGTGACAAAGTTGTGTATGAAAGATGGCGTGTGAAAGATGGTGTGTGACAAAGTTGTGTGTGTGTGACAAAGTTGTGTGTGAAAGATGGTGTGTGACAAAGATGGTGTGTGACAAAGAGGTGTGTGACAAAGTTGTGTGTGTGTGAAAGATCGTGTGTGACAAAGAGATGTGTGACAAAGTTGTGTGTGTGTGACAAAGTTGTGTGTGAAAGATGGTGTGTGACAAAGAGGTATGTGACAAAGTTTGTGTTGAAAGATGGTGTGTGACAATGTTGTGTGGAGGAGGCGGCGGCGGCGGAGGCGGCGGCGGAGGCGGAGGCGGAGGAGCGGGATACAGAATCAAAAACAAGAACCCCACACAAAGATGTGGGGAACAAGGAAGACTGCTGGACGGCCAAGAATCTGTCAGTGCCTGGGCTGGACTGACCACGAGAGACGCAGCAATACCGTCCCTTAGAGCCTCAGTTTGGCAATTCATTTCTCCAGTTTTGATCATCAGCTGCAACTCATTCCCCCTGAACCGGTTTCCAAAATCCACTACAATTCAGGTGAAGACTTTCCTGATTCCGGTCTGCTTGCCAAATCCCTCCGGGTTGGAGATACCTGAGCCCAAATGCTCTCACTCTCCCTTGCGAAATCAAGCCCAAATCTTCACTCCGTTCATCCCCCGTGGTTGTCTTGCTTTCCTGACCTGCACAGAGTGAATCTGGAATTCATGGGCAGAATCAGTCCTCTTTCTGGTGCTGCACGGATTGGCTGCAGCACTAAGGTCAGAACGAAAGGTGAGACTGCTGATTAAGACCTTGCACAGAAACACCGACGACTGGAACGCAGAAGATGCGCAAATCTCTTCCTTTCCGGAGCCACATCAGGGGCCAGACCCGCAGGCGCCCAGCAGAAGCAACAAGATCTAGCCTTGAGTCAAGGGCCAGACTTGCCACAAAATGGTTTGCTACCCGAGCGTTGATGCTTTTACGGGACTTACGCTGTGATCAGTTGCGCCCAAATTAACCTTAAATGATCTTGGTTCCCGTCATCTCAAAATTGGCACAAAGAAGGCTCATCCGGTCTTTTCCACTGCTGCAAGACTGCATTGGCAACAATACAGCAAGGCACTGGAGGTGTCAAAACCTCAGTCTCTCAATACTTGGGAGACTACGTTGTTGTGGGAGTCGTTTCTGGAGGCTGAGACGTGCTTGAATCCTTCACAGTGGAAAGTCAAAGGTGAGAAAGTTGCCATGAAGAAACTACAAAAAGTATGAAAAGTGTACAAAATGACTATTCTTGCAAAACCCTATTGGCTATGAATTCGGCGAAGTTTCCATTATCATATACAGCTATATAAGCGAACTCAAACCGAACAAAGCCATAGGCACATCGTGCAAACACTTGATGCAAAGAAGCATACTGTGCGAATCTTGTCTCAAAGCCCTTGGCATGCAAAACATTCCATGTCATCAGGCTGGCCTGTTCATCAAGCCCATCCTCGTCCTCCTCCTCAAGTGGCTTGTGTTCCATGACTTGTCGAGGGGACTATCCCCTCGTGGCTCAACATTTTTCGTTTCTCGGCTGTGCAGCTATCACGCCGGCCTCAAAAATGCCAGATGGAGTCTCTGACGTAGTGATTGACCTCCAAATGCTTTGCATGGATCATGAAAATCATGAAGGGTTGTTCGATTCTTGGCAAGACCATGATGACCATGCTAGTTTGCTGCATCCCAGCTGATTTACACCGAACCTTTTTTTCAATTCAAGCAGTCAAATAAGTCAAACAGAACAGCACTTGCACAAGAAATGCAACTGGACTCCACCTAAGAGGTCTGGAATTTCCTTGTTCAATATCGTGCCTGTGCGAGCTAGTTGTTTCACTTGCTTGATCAGGATCTTGGCAATGCGAAGGGCACAAACGTCCTGGTGCATCTGTGGTCGCGACTTGGAGCATCTTGCCGCAGGTCGGCCAAGGAAACAGTGATGATTTTTCAGAACTGCAGAATCACTGTAAAAAATGCTTGAACCAGTGAGAAACCAAAAGCGACTGCTTTTAAACCTGTTTACGAGATCTGAATCAGTTACCCTATGCTTAGGTGACCACTGGCAAATATCCCAAGGTTATGACTTGTGCGCAAAAGTCAACTTGAAGGAGGTACTTGATTTTTCAGTATCAAAGCCGAAGAACCAGGAAGAAATGGCCACACACAAAACAACTCTCATTCCAAAAGAAAGAGACAAGTTCTATGGTACTGCTGAGCAAACGTACAGAGACACCGTTTTTTTGTCTGACATTAGATTTAGATGCAGATCCATGCCAGTGCGAAGCGCAAAGAGTTGCGTCACTATATGAATGGTTTTTCGAGTGCTTGCATGCGCTTGTGCTTACTTGCTTCCCTTGGTTTACATGCTGAGCTTCCAATGCCAAGTCTTTCAAAGTGTGAAATATGGAATATGAAGCTAGAAAAAGAAGGACAAATCGCTTGGAACATCTTGGAACAACTTCACTGCAAGAGAAAGGGTGCAACAGGAGAATGCCCAACTCGCGCTCCACAAAGATCTCCAACTTCGAATCTCTTGCCGAGGTTTCTCAAGTCAGGCACCTACCGAACTGCAGCAAGTACACTAAGTGGAAAATCTGACCATGGAAACAAAGGCATGATTCTAAATCCATGCGCAACTCCATCGGAAACTACTGCAAGGGAGCACCTTGAGAAGATAGCGGATCGCAAAAGAACTGTTGCTAGAGTTGGATAAAGTTGGCATGTGCTGATCAAACCCGGCACCGTGCGACTGCTCCCTTGGCCTCTATTGAAGCATCTCCTGCGCATCCACCTGCTGCTTCAAGAAGAAGGAAGCAATTTGTGATGAGGCCTCGAGTCTTCTCAAGTCGCATCTCTTGGACTCAGAATGCCAGCTTGAATTCAAGATTCCAGGATGCATAAGGCATCTGTACAAGACTAGTCGTTCCAAAATTGTCAAGTGAGTTTGCTGTAGCGTCATCTGTGACTCACCGAGGTTTTTTTGGGAGCCGATGCCTCTGGAAGCCTCTTGCAAAACGCTGCTGTCCATCTCCTTTTGCTGCACAGAATGAGGTGGGGGCTCAACTATTCGTCAGCAGACTACATCCGTGTGTCTGTGTGCCCTCGCTTCTCTGTGTGTAGAAACCATATTGCGGTCTGTCTCCACGGCTCCTCGCAGTTGCTCTTGATGCAGCTTGTGTACTCCAGGAGTCCACTTCTGTCCAAGGCCTTGAATGGTGCCATAGGATCTGGACTGCGACAAAGGTCGACGCCTTTTCTACAGGACTCCCCAACTCTGAAGCAATCTGTGAATGTGCAGCTTCCACTCAGTTCCTTGAAGGAAGGCTATTTGAGGCGCAAAGTCGGTAAGTGATGCTTTCGCTTAGGATGGGACGGATGGTACAGGGCAGGAAAATCTGGTGGTCACAGTGGTAGTCTGAAGCAGAAGGCTGATAATTCGCTGCGGAGAATGAGAACATAATGAGAACGATCTGTCGGTTTCGCAGCTGATTTGATTTGCAGCTGCATTGGGTCTGAGTCGTATGCGACTGTGGTGACGGTGGTGTTCCTGGACATAGCAAACAATAAAAAGCTTTGCAAAAAGTGCTTCTACCTCTGCAAATCTTGCATTTAGATGAAGGCTCCCTCTCTCTCACTCTGTCTATCTCTCTGTGTCTCTCTCTCTCTCTTTGTGTGTGTGCAAATGCACAGAATTGATACGGAATATATACAACATGCTTTCAACACATTGGCTATCGGCAAGCAGGACCTATAAATTGGCATTTCCAGTTGGCAAAATGAAATTACAAATGGTTCCAGAAGAATGGTCATGAGCTTCTGCCGATATTCTATTCAAACCAAGCCACTGGTTTTGGACCTTGCAAAATCACATTGAAATCTTCAAGTGAAGGATCCGTGAAATGTGTTGAAATTCGAAAACCTGAAATGATGTGCTCGGTGGAAAAAGTTTGCAGAACTTTCTTGGAGCAACGCTGTAGAGCTCAGTTGGAAAGTCGTGGTGCGGATATCGCCAGTATCTACATCTGTGCCATCATCAAGCCTCAAGAAATCATCTCAAACGCATAGCCCTCGATCTACAATTGAAACCAGACCACTGTGGCGCGCTTCAATCTAGATTCTGTAAATGAACAGAACATAAAGGTTGACAGTGGACAGTGGTGTTTTCTGCATAGAAAGGGCATGCGTACAAGAATCCAGCGGGAGCAGCATATGCTGCCACAGAGTCCGAGGAACCAAATTGGTGAAGGACAATGGAGGCAGTGACAACTTCTTTGCGCTGCTCAATACAAAAGCAAACCATAGTGACGAGGGCAAGCTAGGCAAAATGCTCCTAAGGTCCACCTGGCCTAGTGTATCTGAAACCCAGAGCTATGGCTCCAACCCGGTAAAGTCGTCCTCTGCAAGTTGCTCCGTTTGCCACGTGCCCGTAGCAGAACGGCATTGGTCAAGAAGCAAACATGGCAATTCTGTGCTCAACGCGATTCAACAAGCCAAAACCATAGCAGTGCTCACTGCTCACCTCTGAACCTGTCTCAGAGGCTCTGCGGTTGTCCACGGGCCTCGTGCTGTCAAACTGCAAATGGATGGCAAGCCGAAGGATAATGCAATTTGAAGACTTTTGCAGTATCTCTTTGAAGTATCTTTCTAAAGTATTTCATAGATCTTCATAGATTTTAATAGTTTCCCTATCTTTCTAAAGTATTTCATAGATGTTCTGAGATTTTAATAGATTTTAATAGTTTCTCCAAGCAGTGAAGCACTGAAGCACCCGCAGAGCCAACAAAACGACTATCCTGGTGTTCCTGAGAATGTCAGGTTTCAGGTTCAGGCTCAGCAGCACCTGCACGCTTCAGTATCAGCTCGAGTCCGGAATGTGGCAGGATACATCAGGATACTATGAAAGAACTTGACTAAAGTTCGGCAAAAATGGGTTCGTGGGACCTAACATGACCTAACCAAGTGCAGCAGTGAAAAGCAAGTGCGCTGTAGAAAAGTGACACACATTTTGTGCCAAAGCGAGCACAGTCCCAGGTCCAACTTTGGACAGCCTGATGCAAGTGCTAGCAGCAGCAACTCCTTAGAAGAGCGCCGTCGGTGCTGGATCTTCAATGGAACGATCTCTTGCTGTGAGTCATTGTTTTCTTATGTTTTCTTCATTTTGTAATCATTTTGTCATGTTTCCATCATGTTTCTTCCTATTCTTCGTAAATTAACCAATACCTAGCTATATCTAGCTTCCCTTCTGAAACCTCTGAGGATCAAGCAGCAAAAAGGAGCTGCACCAACGGAGGACGCCAAATCACCATGAAGCATCTCCCTCTGCTGTTCAAGCCTCGGACTTTGACTTCAAACTAGGCCCAAGAAGCATAATCAATTGCAGGGTGAAAAGGCACTCTCACAAATCTTGCTTTTTGCTGGTGTTGTTCAGTGTTTATGTAATCTTTCAGAAATGCTGCAGTTGCTGGCCTCGCCTTTACTTTTCTCTTGCAAAATGCAGCCGAGGAACGTGCCGTTTTCTTTTTCAAAGAGTACGCCCTTCTCAGATTGACGACTTCTTGTCAAGTAGGCCACAAGATCAAGAGTTGACTGGTACATGACTTTGGGGCTGCAAAGGGTATTGCTCCTGTGGCTAGAAGGTTTGTTGACAGCGAGGCTTTTGTTATGATTCAGAATGTCACCAAAACGAATTTCTAGGCCACTCTGCATGTGGGAATTTAGACTGTTGTATAGAGCTGAGTCTTTGCAGCAGCAGCAAAAAAACATCGAAGCTCACAAGCTTGGCCAGTCAAGTCAGGTCCGCAAAGGGGATGCTCGCTGGAGCCTAACTCTTGATATTTTGGGGGATTGCACAACATCAAAAAAAAAACAAAAGAAAGCCAGTCAAGTGTGAGGCCCTTTTCTTATTTTTTTTCTTGCTTTCTTGGACAGGCGCGTGTTCGCCATAGAAAGTGAGGATGCTCATAAGGATCCCGAAAGGCTGATTTGCAGCATCACAGAGAGAAAACCTGCTCTGGTACCAGGCAGCCTTCACAGCCAAATGGCTCACATACAAAGGAACCTTGATGAAAAGGTGGACCATCCCTCCAACTGGCAAGTCTGAACAAGACTCACTCACTTGCCCCTTGATCAAGCAAGTAGCTGTGACATGTTGCGAAGCATTGCTCTGGATGTTGCAAAGCTTCGCACCTGCCGCCCATGGCACTTCTCCATCATTCAAGAGAGCGACCTGTATCAGGCCGCTAGGTATGCTAGGGCCGCTAGGTACAAAGTTTGGCCTCAAAGGTCTCAAGGGCATTTTGATCGCTCCAAGATGAAGTGCTCCTGAGAAGCCGCGTTGGAAAAGCGCATTAAGGCCACCCTCATCGGCTCTGGCATCACGTGGACGCTTGGATAAAGCCCGACGCCAGGTACGGAGTGGCAACGTTCCAAAGCCATGTGCTGTTTCGGGATCCACGGGCTCATAGATGTCAGACAACCAAGCAGCAGGTGACTTCCACCGGCCCAGTGGTATCAAACTTCCTCCTGTGTCGATGAAGATGCTAGCTGCAACCGGCCTGCAGAACAAAAATGGCAAAAACATCCCAAAGCATGCTTTGCTAGTCAAAAAATGTCAAAAAAAATGTCGTTTCTCATTGTTTCTCTTGGAAGACGCAAAAGATTGCAGAAGCTCGGCCTGGGTCTTACTCAATTCAAGTTCGATTGTTCATGCAGTGTCGTGTTCTTTCATCAAGAATGAAAAGGATTGAAAAGGGGTTCCGTTCTGAGCAAATGTTCGTGGCCTGGCGGATAGCTTTGGCTGCCCAGGCAAGGTCGTGCAAAGCGAGCGCATCCACCTCTGAAACTATGCAGTATATAGGTATCTTCAAACAGACTCCGGTGAGTGTTGATCGTTGTGCTTAAGAGGAAAACAAAACTAGACTTCAACATCGAAAAAACCGCTTAAAAGTCATACCATGACATTAGTTTGTAGATGTTTGTAGCTCTTGCCTCTCTGGTGGTACGACGCCGCTGTGCCAACTCAAACCTCAGACAACATTGCGTCATGGACCAAGGGATAGCAAGGGATACTCTTGCGAGAAAAACACCAAGAGTCCCATGTGTTGGCTCCACGGGTTTTGCTGAAACCAACTATAAACTGATCATTTCGAGTTGTGGTAAATTGATGTAAATTGAGGAAGAGATTGGAACTCTTTTGGGCCCCCACCAAATCCAGTGCTGCTCCTGATTCCCAAGGTGGTAGCAGCCTGAGCAGTCGTTTGCGGCACATTCTTCGAAAAGCAACAGTATCAACGTCAGGATTAGTTTCGGCATGTTTCAGCCAGATGTTTGATATCTTTGTCAAGAAGCCTATCTGCAAAATCCATCAATGGATCTTCACTTGACTCATGATGCACGGATTATGCACTGATATTATCTGATCATATAATATCCGCCGACCCCGGCCGACGCAAGGGGGAGCGCGTAAGGGAAGAAGAGGTACTGCCTTGCTATTACTACTACTACTACTACTACTACTACTACTACTTCTACTTCTACTTCTACTACTACTTCTACTACTACTTCTACTTCTACTTCTACTACTTCTACTACTTCTACTTCTTCTACTTCTTGTACTTCTTCTACTACTTCTTCTACTACTTCTTCTACTTCTTCTTCTACTTCTTCTTCTACTTCTTCTACTTCTTCTACTTCTTCTACTTCTTCTACTTCTTCTACTTCTTCTACTTCTTCTACTTCTTCTACTTCTTCTACTTCTTCTACTTCTTCTACTTTTTCTACTTCTTCTACTACTTCTACTTCTTCTACTACTACTTCTACTACTACTTCTACTACTACTTCTTCTACTACTTCTACTACTACTTCTACTACTACTTCTACTACTACTTCTTCTACTTCTTCTACTACTTCTTCTACTACTACTACTACTAGCAGCCGCAGGCAGCAGCAGGCAGCAGCAGGCATCAGTAGGCAGCAGCAGACACAAGCAGACGCAGCAGTAAGCGCAACCGCAGCAGTGCAGCAGCTAGCAGCGAGCCAGCAGCCAGCCTCGAGAAACGCATAGCAAGCTTTTTGTAGGAGATTTCAGAAGGGACGTTCCGGCCCCGGGAAACGCTTATTTTGGACTCTGTTTGTCCTTCAGGGCCATGGTGTTTCCCCGTCCGGGAGGGCCGTGTTACTACTACTACTACTATTACTACTACTACTACTTCTACTTCTACTTCTACTTCTACTACTACTTCTACTACTACTTCTACTTCTACTACTACTTCTACTACTACTTCTACTACTACTTCTACTTCTACTTCTTCTACTTCTTCTTCTACTTCTTCTTCTACTTCTTCTACTTCTTCTACTTCTTCTACTTCTTCTACTTCTTCTACTTCTTCTACTTCTTCTACTTCTTCTACTTCTTCTACTTCTTCTACTACTTCTACTACTACTTCTACTACTACTTCTACTACTACTTCTACTACTACTTCTACTACTACTTCTACTACTACTTCTTCTACTACTTCTACTACTGAAGAGGTACTGCCTTGCTATTACTACTACTACTACTACTTCTACTACTACTTCTACTACTACTACTACTACTACTTCTACTTCTACTTCTACTTCTACTACTACTACTACTACTTCTACTTCTACTACTTCTACTTCTTCTACTTCTTCTACTTCTTCTACTACTTCTTCTACTTCTTCTTCTACTTCTTCTACTTCTTCTACTTCTTCTACTTCTTCTACTTCTTCTACTTCTTCTACTTCTTCTACTTCTTCTACTTCTTCTACTTCTTCTACTTCTACTACTACTTCTACTACTACTTCTACTACTACTTCTACTACTACTTCTTCTACTACTTCTACTACTACTTCTACTACTACTTCTACTACTACTTCTTCTACTTCTTCTACTACTTCTTCTACTACTACTACTACTAGCAGCCGCAGGCAGCAGCAGGCAGCAGCAGGCATCAGTAGGCAGCAGCAGACACAAGCAGACGCAGCAGTAAGCGCAACGGCAGCAGTGCAGCAGCTAGCAGCGAGCCAGCAGCCAGCCTCGAGAAACGTATAGCAAGCTTTTTGTAGGAGATTTCAGAAGCTACTACTACTACTACTACTGCTGCTGCTGCTGCTGCTACTGCTACTGCTACTGCTACTGCTACTGCTACTGCTACTACTACTACTACTACTACTACTACTACTAGTAGGGCATTGCAAGCACACTCTTCGATTCGGCTTCCTGGCTGTCCAAGCTGCAGTGCAGAAATATTCCTTTGTTCGTTTTCTTTTGCAGGCAAAACAATGCTTGACAGCATCACATGATAAGCAAACGCGGTACAAGCTCCACCGTGGATTTTGATGCTTGCTTAAAGTGAGCAGCCGCATGCCATAAGCCACACTGTGCGCATCGATATGGTGTGCCTGCCTCGCGCTTCTGCGCTGTGCATTCTTTGCACACGCGGTAGGTTTCCTGTTTCCACTGTGCTTTGGTGAATGCATCTTTGCGTTTCATCTCCCCACACTCGTGGCACGGCCTTTCAGGCAGACGCAAGGGGGAGCGCGCTAGGGAATAAGACATTTGACCCTTGTTTTGGACTAGTGCAGCAGCAGCAGCAGCAGCAGCAGCTCAGAAGGGACGTTCCGGCCCCGGGAAACGCTTATATTATTTTGGATTCCGTTCGTCCTTCAGGGCTATGGTGTTTCCCCGTCCGGGAGGGCCGTGTCTTTGTGGGCACAGCAGCAGCAGCAGCAGTAGCTGCTTCTTGCTTTGCAGCAGCACAACAGCAGCAGCAGCAGCCACCAGCAGCAGCACCAGCAGCAGGCAGCAGCAGGGAGCAGCAGGCAGCAGGCAGCAGCAGGCATCAGTAGGCAGCAGCAGACACAAGCAAACGCAGCAGTAAGCGCAACGGCAGCAGTGAAGCAGCTAGCAGCGAGCCAGCAGCCAGCCTCGAGAAACGTATAGCAAGCTTTTTGTAGGAGATTTCAGAAGGGACGTTCCGGCCCCGGGAAACGCATATTTTGGACTCTGTTCGTCCTTCAGGGCCATGGTGTTTCCCCGTCCGGGAGGGCCGTGTCTTTGTGGGCACAGCAGCAGCAGCAGCAGCAGTCGCTGTCGCCCTTCAGTAGCATGGGGTTTCCTTGCCGAAAGCCGCCTTTTTGAAGGGTCAGCTGCACCAGCAGCAGCAGCAGCAGCAGTACTCCAGTAGCATGGTGTTTCCCTGTTTTCCTGTTTTCCACCGGATGTAAAGGTAGCCAAAATTCATAGCAGCAGCAAGAGGAAAAAGCAGCCAAAATCATCATTTTCTATCGGTTTCAGAAGTTACGTTAGGCATTTTCGGGGTGCAATTTTGGGGCTTCTCCGTCCTTCAGAGGCACGGTGTTTCCCTGCCGGGAGGTGATTTTTTCCATGGTGTTTTCCCGTAGCCAAAATTCATAGCAGCAGCAAGAGGAAAAAGCAGCCAAAATCATCATTTTCTATGGGTTTCAGAAGTTACATTAGGCATTTTCGGGCTGCAATTTTGGGGCTTCTCCGTCCTTCAGAGGCATGGTGTTTCCCTGCCGGCAGGTGATTTTTTCCATGGTGTTTTCCCATTTGGGGACCGGATGTAAAGGTAGCCAAAATTCATAGCAGCAGCAAGAGGAAAAAGGAGCCAAAATCATCATTTTCTATGGGTTTCAGAAGTTACGTTAGGCATTTTCGGGGTGCAATTTTGGGGCTTCTCCGTCTTTCAGAGGCATGGTGTTTCCCTGTTTTCCATGGTGTTTTCACATCCGAGGACCAGCAGCAGCAGCAGCAAAAGCCTCTGCAGCAGCAGGAGGAAAAGGTAGCCAAAATTCATAGCAGCAGCAAGAGGAAAAAGGAGCCAAAAGCATCATTTTCTATCGGTTTCAGAAGTTACGTTAGGCATTTTCGGGGTGCAATTTTGGGGCTTCTCCGTCCTTCAGAGGCATGGTGTTTCGCCCCGGGAGGTGATTTTTTCCATGGTGTTTTCCTATTTGGGGACCGGATGTAAAGGTAGCTAAAATTCATGGCAGCAGCAAGAGGAAAAAGGAGCCAAAAGAATCATTTTCTATGGGTTTCAGAAGTCACGTTAGGCATTTTCGGGGGTGCAATTTTGGGGCTTCTCCGTCCTTCAGAGGCATGGTGTTTCCCTGCCGGCAGGTGATTTTTTCCATGGTGTTTTCCCATTTGGGGACAGGATGTAAAGGTAGCCAAAATTCATAGCAGCAGCAAGAGGAAAAAGCAGCCCAAATCATCACAAGAGGAAAAA